ACACACACACACACACACACACACACACACACACACACACACACACACACACACACACACACACACACACACACACACACACACACACACACACACACACACACACACACACACACACACACACACACACACACACACACACACACACACACACACACACACACACACACACACACACACACACACACACACACACACACACACACACACACACACACACACACACACACACAGAGGTACACGCGTTTGGATGTATTTACGAAGTTATGTTGGCATGCACGCAAATGCCAAATTGGCAAATAGAGATATGTTATATGTGCACGCAGCCTCCGTATTGTTACAGCACAGTGGACCATAAACTTGTAGCATATAACATGTGCATGTAAGTTTTTAAAGCAGCGCGTTTAAAAACTCGCACGTGCATGATTAATCGTGCAAATAAAATCAGCTGTGTTAATCACTAAGCATGTAAACAAATTTAATAGAAGAACTCGGAATTAAAATTAATAAGAGTTTTATTACCATATATTGTATAATAATATACACACATAATAATATACACATTCTTTCTTTCTTCTTCTCTTCTCTTCCCCCTCTTTCTCTCCTTGGCGTAAAATAACTCATGCTGGCGTAATCTGTCTTCATTTTCCACAGTATCTTTCTCCGAGATTTTTATTTTCGACATTACATTACCTTTTCAAGTCGGATATTTTATCATATGTCAAATATATCAGTTTTCTGCGTAATGGATTGCTGTGCGAGTGAGAAAACTGTTCGCATTGACCCATTATCATTTGACAGCATGAAAAACCGTTTCTCTTAATGGCAAGGTAAACATTCGACTTTACTAGCATCGTGAGAGAGTGATTGCAAGTGTGCAAACTGGGAATTCAACGTGCGTGCGCGAATGAGTTTAGTGCGCATCGCTAAAACGGAATGTCAGCAGATAACCGAGCATATGGCCATGGTGCAAGTTTGCACCAACACACATGGCTCCCCTAGCAATATATATGAGTTGTCGAGAATTGAACATATACCAAAGAGACGAACTTGGCAAGACGAGCATACGTGTCCTCGTTGTAACTCGCGAAATAATGTTTGTTAACTTTTCAAGCTAGCTTTTCGGCTCAGCTATTGTCTCGTAATCCCGTTAATCGCAGTGCAGCAAAGTACACCCAAGAGCTGAGAAAGAATCTACGAAAACAGAGATTAAACTACTTTACAAATTCTGGTACAGAAGAATTGGCGAATAGATATTCCATATTGTCCCGACGTTACAATCTAGACAGCTGCATTTAACAGCTTTGTAATTGTACATGTATTTCTCGGCTAACTTTCATATTGTAGAGCAAATTGCACGAAACATTATATATATTTACGCGTACTTTTATCTCTTGGAGTATTTGAGAAAAAAAGAAAGAAAATGAGAGAGAGAGAGAGAGAGAGAGAGAGAGAGAGACAGAGAGACAGAGACAGAGACAGAAACAGAAACAGAGACAGAGATAGAGACAGAGAGAGAGAGATCATCTTTGATGTTGCTAACTTGACACTCGTGCCTAACAATGAGACTTGCACGTGCTCCTGCACGCACATACGTGCATTCGCACATACCCTCATATATATCTCTTGACTGATCGCAAATATATACCGGCCGTAGCGGCAAGTTTACAGACGGATGTACGGACGGACGTCGGATCGATCCGTGGCCCTGGAAAAGGAGCGGGGCACAGGGTCGGAAAGCAGCGAGAGGTGGATAGTGGCATGAAGAGGGTAGTAGTCCTCCCGCGGCGGAGTGGGAAGGAAAACCGTCGTGCCACGTCGGGGAGAGGGATATGGTGGTCCTGGCGACTGCTGTGCGCCGTCGCGACGTCGCTCGACGTCGAGGCCAGTCGAGTCTCTCAACCCGGAGGGGGTTGGTTTCTCTTCTTCTCCCTTATTGACTCTCTCTCTCTCTCTCTCCCTCTCCCTCTTCCGCCCCTCCCTCTCTCTCTCTCTCTCTCTCTCTCTCTCTCTCTCTCTCTCTGTTCTTCCTCTTCTACATCCTGTTCTCTATCCTTTCTCTATCCCTTGTCAAGTCTGTCGTGCTCTTCCTCCCCTTGCTATTCCTGCTATCTTTATTCATCCAGACTATCGGATCGTCCCTCTCGCTTCGATCAGCTCGTTCCCTCCCTCTCACTCTCGCCACCTCCTCTTCTTCTCTCCCTTCGTCATTCCGCCACTCTCTCTCGCCCTGCCTCTCCCACTCTCGTCCAATCTCACTCTCTCGCTACGTAGCTCTGCAAAAACAAGCATACGGCTATCCCCAGTAGCACCCCGATACACAAACCCGACAGAGCGTCGGGTGCTCCGCGTGTCTAGGGGTAACGTGGACCTTCCGTCTCTCTCGACTCGCCGTAAACGATCAGCGTCACACGCGATGAATGCCGCGCGTCACGTGTTACTTGCGCGTGACACCTGGCACGTCACGACGTAATCTTCGATGACGACCTCAACCCTACGACATCCTCGCACCGGTGAAAAACCATTGTTCCGGTCTGTTCGTCATGGGCAGATCCTGCGTTTTCTTCAACGACGAATCTTTCGACAAGATACCTAGTTGCCAAATTGTGTCGAGATCTCGGGATTACGCACGCGGAAAATTATAATTCAACGTAGCGTAAATTCAACGATTGTGATTTGTCTGACAGTACTATCGTCCCGACATTCAAGGCGCGATCTCCTCGACCACCGATAGATCTCGAGGCATCGCGAGGTGCCATTAAGAGTGTCCTCGGCGATTCAGGCGTAAGTCAATTGGGAAATTGACGAGGAGCAACGAGAAAATTGCGCGCATGTAAAGCTGACCATAATCGCGCGAAAATGAGCGTGTCGAGATCAAATGCCGAGGAAAATCGATAGCGCGCAATGATCCCTCATGCGTGATCGCAGATCTACGGATCTCGCTCTCGAGGATTTCATCACAGAGGTTACGGCAGCATGAAGACGGAAACTCATCAAAAGGTTTGATGCTTATACGCGAGTTGAAACTTGTCCTGTACTCGTCGTCATCGGCGACGGTCGTCTTAGGATAACGGATCTCATCAAAGCGTTTTATGATTGAGACTGGTGTATGCTTCGTACCAAATCTCTCTCTCTCTCTCTCTCTCTCTCTCTCTTTCTTATTCACTTTCTACATCTCTTCTCCCTACGAAACTTTCTCGGACTTCTTCGCAAAAGATTATACGGAACTCGAGGAATCATTAGAGCGTTATCATCACCGGTCGATGTCGACCAAACTTTGTCCGGCCGTCGATAATTCGTAGGAATCGTCCGATCATAGTTTAGTATCTTGTTGTCGGTCGCGCTTTTAATAACTGCGTCATGTGTAATGATTGATCGTTCCCAGCTTTCGAGAGAAAGAGAGTGAAAGAATGAGTTCTTGTAATACAAGAGTGCTGGCGAGTGTTGGCAATCAGAAATGAACATTCCTTTGATCGTCGCTCTTTTATCGAGCCAATCACTGTATTATTGAACAGGTTAGACGCTTGAAAAGAAATCAATGCGTATTGTCATGGCGCGACACGGAAATTCTTGCTGAACGTAATAGTCAAGGTACCGAACTGATTTTGAAGAGTTAACTAGCCCACCGATGCATTTTCATAGACCCTCGACCTTTCACGAACGTGCGGATATGTAGGGTGGCCCTCGTCATCTGCTGGCGCGTTCGCGGGGGTGAATTGGCGCAAAGTGTGTTACGGACAATACAGATTATTTCGAGCACGAGGATCGGATGTTGCGAACGGCTGGCAGGATTTACACAGCGCATTCGGCTGTAGGAAGATTCTGACCGCTCGCATTAGTGGTAAGTCGATATATATGATGCATTCACTGTTAATCCATGTACAGTAGAATCCTTAATTTTTCGCCTTGATGCCCTGTACGTTGCTAATCACGAATTTATCGCAAGATAAAATAATAATTTACATCTCTTATTAAATGAAAAGCGTCAATAGATAAACTCGATTAATAACCATACAAAATTGGATGTACTATTGTTTGTGTTTTCTAGCCTTTATATCAGGTCTACCGGAAAGTTCTGTCCGTTTTTGGAATAAAACAAAATACAAATTTTTATTACCGTCAATAAACTTTATTAAATAATGTAATTGCCATTATTCGGAGAAGTATTGTCAGCAACTGGATAATTTAAATACAGCAGTCCATGAAAAGAGGCCGGCGATGTTCAATAGGAGGAACATCATACTGCATCATGATAATGCTAGGCCACATGCTGCTTTGGGGACTCGTCAAAAAATTGCAGAACTAGGCTGGGAAATTCTGTCGCATCCACCATATTCCCCGGACTTAGCACCCTCCGACTATCATTTGTTTTTGTCCTTACAAAATTTTTTGAGAGTCAAAAAATTCAAAAATGAAGAAGATATGAAACAAGCACTGGTTCAATTTTTCGTATCAAAAGATAAAACATTTTTCGAAAATGGGATATACAAATTGCCCTCACGCTGGCAAGAAATCATTAATAATAATGGCAATTACATTATTTAATAAAGTTTATTGACGGTAATAAAAATTTGTATTTTGTTTTATTCCAAAAACGGACAGAACTTTCCGGTAGACCTAATACATATGACATATCGTTGATAAAAAGTTTATTAACAATAAGTTTATCAGTTATATAACTGGTTTTTTGGTTTTTGGTACATATGTATAATTATTTTATATATATAATATATTATAAAATGCAATTTTGAGTAACAAGATTATTCAAAAAATATTGACTACGTTTATCTACGGAAAAAATCAATTTTTTTTTAATTGCTTTTTTCATGCCTAGAAAATTAAAATATAATTATATATATATGTAGTATTTAATAATACAAACATAATAATTTTGTTGAGAATTAGCTGGGGAGGGTTGGAGGGAGAACGGGACGATTGATTGTGAGACAATCTCGTAGAATATTCTCTGGTAGATCACAATGCTTGAATTTAGTGGCATCATTTTCGTAATAGCGCGCACATCAACGTACATGTTCGTAATGATTTGACTCCTCACATAATAGTCATGGTAGCGATCTGCCATATTAACCTGTTAGAACGTGCTTGGATATATATGTACTCTATTTCGTTACATTTCCTCTCTTTTTCTCACTTTTTCGCTTGTATAATATATGTCATTTAAATATTTATTTTCATATATTTAGTTTCTTTAAAAAGAAAAACCAATTTAAAACACACGCATACAAAAATATTTTTGAGAAATTAAAATAAGAATCTTTATTCGAAAACGAAATTTCATAGTTGAAACGTTACGTGCGCATAAAGCAATTTCAAAGTATATAATCCATTCTTCAATTCTTTCCACTACGCTGAACAACTAAAGAGGAATGCAGTTTTACATCTTGACGTAGTCCACAGAGTATAAATAAGATTGTAATATTCTCGCTATTGTCGATTTACAAATTTTAATGAGCGTATAAACCCTACGTCCGACTCTCGACGAAGCTTAATTGTACCTTTCACAATATATGCATGTCAACTAAAGATTATAATGTACATAAAATATGAGAAAAGTGTACGAATATTCGCGATCAACACAAATTAAATTCTTCCGGTCTATCAACAATTTGTCCGAATCACAGACGCGCTCTTATACCGTTTACGTGTTATATATGTTAACTAAATACATTATAATTATTATATTTAGAAAATTTTAAAGTTATCATAAGAGATATAAACATGAGAATAGGAAAATTATCAATTATATATTGTATTAAATCATTAATAATTATCATCCTGCATCAATTAATAATAATCATCCTGCGCTTTGCGATTTTGTTTTCGAGCTTGAATTTGCATCCGTTTTCATAACTTACTATGCAATCGTATATATACTCCGTGGCGCGCAGTCACTTCCTATTATAGTCATAAATAAATGCAGCACGTGCGCGCGAAAAAAGAAGGAAGGAAAGAGAAGGAAAGAGAAAGAAGGAAAGAGAAAGAAAGAGAGAGAGAGAGAGAGAACAGGATTTCTCTTACCATTATATCCTGCGGAATAAAAATATCGCTATTAAAGCGGCGCCATTCTTGACGTCGTCGTCGTATGTTTCAAGCCGGCTCTGGATATGTACTCTTGTCGCACGCGCTTTGCATATCAAGACTTGTGTATGAAGTTGCCCTTTGTGTATCACGTGACTGACACAGAGAGGCTGCTGGTTCTATCTATCTCTCCTCCTGCTTCTCCTTTGCATACATATGCCGCATGCGTGTCCGATCATTCTGCTGGCGCCTCGTCATCCCGTGACGTACGAGATTTTACGAGTTGATGCTTGCCCGGTAATCGTATGGTTATACGCTCGCAATTTCCCGAATACCGTACGTATGCGTGTGTGTGTGTCCCAACAAAAAAGCTCTTTATGGGAGAAACTCATGTGCCGAGTTAAACACTTCATTCATACTTCATTAAGTCACTCGTCTCCGATGTTAAGCACTCTTGTCTCCTATGGACTGTATATATGTCGCGTACAATGTATACGGCTGTATCACTTTGAATACAATCGCGCGCGAGAAAAAGAGGTTTCACGCCGTCGTTTGACTGGTGGAACTAGTACGGGAGAGAGTGAAACTCTCCTCTTTTATCTTAGAACCTCCTCTCTTATTCGCAAACCCTGTATTCACTTATCCTCGGTGTGGGCCCGTTATTTATGCGAATTTAACCGCCGATATTACTGAAAGTGATCAATCTGTTTGACTTTATCCCCCCATTTTGCATGGATTAGACGAAATCGCTATCCGCAACGTGACTCGAAAAGGGGGTTGATCTCCCTTTCTCCCCTCTGCCCTCCCCCCCTCCCCTCCCTCTCTCTCTTTTATTTATCTATCTTTCGCTAAAATCCGCGGCATTAAACCGGCATCATCGCGTTGAACTTTCCAGTTAACCGTTGACGCCTATAGAGAAATCGCGGTCGCTCGCTTGCATATATATACGGGAGATTACTGTACAAATGTCATTCGCGCAAATTGCGTTTCTCAAGCAAACGAATACTTTACTGGAGAGCGGTACAACGGTGCCCTTGCTCCGCGCGCCTGATATCAGATGAATCTCGTGCTAGGAACCGCTTTCGGTCCTACAAATTCCGCTATCACGCCGAGCTCGTGTAACACGATGTGAGCTTGCATAAGCTCGATGTCTACCTCGGTGTATTCTGCCTATCTCTTCTCCATTAAGATTGATATCTTTAATTCAATTGAAAAGCTTCAGCTATCTCACCGAATGAGACTGTCTTTGTCAAGCGGAGCGTACTCAGCTTAATGATGATGCTTATTAATGTTATTACGAAAGACTGAAAATTATAGATATTAATCTGATATTTTAATTTAAATATCCTACTCTAAAGAGTGTTTTAATCCGGATAGAGTTTTAGTGTAGATTACTTTGCGGAATTAAGCTCTTCTTTTGAAATATACATAGAATGTCCCGAAATTTACGACTCAAAATAGCAGGAAAGTTCTTGAAAAATTAAGTGATAAAAGTATTTGCGATTTTAATTTTTTGACGGACATACATATACTAATTTTATTTAAGATATAAGAATTTAAAACTCTCTCTCTCTCTCTCTCTCCCTCTCCCTCTCTCTCTCTCTCTCTCTCTCTCTCTCTGATTAATCACAGGATAGGTTTAGAGATAATCACCTGTTCGTGAGTCGCGTATGCACTAATATTAGTGACGCATGTACGATTCACAAACTGTATAAACGTATCTTGTGATTGACTAATTTTAACTTCTTTAATCTCAAAAACCACTGCTTAAAATAAGAAATGGCAATTATATTTTCATTCCTTAATTTTTCGAAAATTTTTCTGCTATAGTATTGAGTCGTGAATTTTGGGATACTTTTTTGGAATATGATACAGCAAATACACGAAGTATATAAAGAATTATTACAATGAAATATTGCTGTTTTATTTCTTTAAAAGTTTGTTAAATTGAAACTGAGAAAGTTAGAAATTCTTGACAGTCGCATTCAAATCTGAAAAGAAAGATTTTTGCGTATAATTCATATTCTCCGCAACAGTCGGGACAATATGCCGATCAGTATCGATTTATTAAATACATTTGCGCGAAGTAATAAACACAATAGAACGAAGCGCGCAAACCGTTTATTCGCGCGTACGGCATTATTAATTGCTATTACACGGAAATCCCTTATGCGCGAAATTGCAAGTGCGAGGTATACACGACTCGATAACGGCCGATGAAAAATCGCGCATTAATTCCAGCCTATTTATTACATTAGAAACACTCGCTATGTTATCCGACACTTATTTTTCATTCTGTCATCGTTAGCTGCAACAACCGCGGCTGTTGCGAGCTATTAATCTTTTTCTCCTCTCTTGCCCTTTCACGTCTCCTCCCGTCTCCCTTCTTCCTGTGTTGCCCCCGCTCGTCTTACGCTTCTTTTTCCATCGCCCATTCCCCCTCGATTTAATTATAATAGATTGAGACGCGTCGCGCGCGCGAAAAGTGATATCGAATATTCTGCTCATCCGTATCATCTTGTACTGCCATGAGACGGAAACAGCAGGTGGCCCTTGAATCCGTTTCTCTCTAAGCGAGAGAAGCGCGCGTCAGATAATTCCGCCGGCGACGGTAGACATTCGTCAATGTCACCCGCGAAAAGAAGGAGCACCCTGTGAGAAGGAAGTTTTTCGAGCGGTGCGCGCCGCTCGCGGAGGAGTTCCGCCGACATCACCGGGCAAAAAAATAATTTGTCAACTAGCTCCTGGAAAACTGGATTTCACAAAGAAGCAACTATAGACTCTCTGGCGCGTGTTCGGAAT